ATTACAAAATTTGATTTTTCTTACAGCAGATTTTTTATTACAATTTTTTTCTCAATTATATAATAATCAAAACAAAAATTATATTATTGAATATGATACAGGAGGAAGATGATTAAGATATTCACAATATTTTCTTGCTACATTAAATACAAAGGTAGATATTATGCTTCTTCCTATTGGATATAATTTTAATCAACCTCCTTCTACTGAAAAATTTTGTGATTATGATCAATATTTCATTTTATTAGATACTGAAGATTCGCGACAAGTTTTAATTTGTGGTCATGCATATCATAGTGATTGTTTAAAAATTTTAAATTTTGTATGTTTACCTTGTACAAATTATTTTTGTGATGGGATTAAAAAAACTTTCTCAAAATTTTATAGATAGATTATCAAAAGAAATATTAGAAGAATCAGAAGATGATGGAGAAGAAATCATTGTAGAAGAAGATGAAGATAATGATATATTTGAAGTAGATGAATTAGGTGAAACCCTTTAGTACAAGAAAAATTCTTTCATTCTTTGTCTTTATTTTAATTTTTATAAATTTTTAATTAAATAAATATATTTTATAAATTTTTATTATCATATATTATATTTTTTTTATATTTTTTTATATAAATTTTAATTGATCAATAGTTATTATTGATGATCAAAAAATGATCGACAATGATCGTCAGATAATTACTAAATTAGGAATGTTCCCTATGCTAAGTAAAATAATAAAAAAGTTATCTATATTATTATGCTATATTATGATGAGCTGAAGGTCTATCTAAAGTGTTATACTACCTATATATCTAAAATAATAGAATTAGCTCTAATTAAAATTAAAAATAAGTTAATAAATTTTGATTAATTATATAAAAAAATAAGTAAAATAATAAAATTTACACACTTTATTATACTGCTATAATGAATTAAAAATTTAAATGATTTCAATATTTAAAATTGATTTGAAAATCAATTTAATCATAATTATTATTTTTTTAAGATTTAACTCTAAGATTTAATTTTTGATTTTGATTAATTAAATTTAATTAATCAATTCATTAAGTAAATGCTTAAAAATTCTCTAATAAATTAAAATTGAAAAATAAAATAAAGAGATATAAATATATGCAAATTAAAAAATAATTAAATATATTAAAAAAATTAAATATTAAAATATGCGATTTTAAAAAAATTTAAAAAAATATTGTAAACAAATATTAAATATTAAATAAGAAAATTAAAAATAATTTAAAAATATAACTTAATTTCTTTAACTATTATTTTTTTTTTTGTTTTATTATAAAATAATTTATTATTTTTTTATATCTGTAAATTTTTTTTCTAAAATATTAAGAAAATTGAATAAATAAATTACATTTAAATAAATAATTAATTAAAAATTAAAAAAAAATCAATTAATAAAATTTGTCATAAAAAATTGAAATTAAATAATTATATTAATTATGAGTTAATATTAGGATTAAAATTTGAGTTAAATTTGGAATTGAATATGTTTTATAAGATAATAATGAGTTAGTATTAATATTAGAGTTAACCCGATATCAATCACTATTATCTTTAATGGTAAATGGCTTTGTGTATTTTATATATTTATTTATATGTATAAATTTCATGTTGTGTTATTTTTTAAAATTAGAGTTGGATAATTTATAAAAAAACTGTATAATTATTTTAAATTTTGATATGCTAAAACTTTAAAAAATTATTTTATGTTATGTTAGCTAATTCTCAGGATATTATTTAGGTAAAATGCTAGTTTGATGATAATAATTTATCAAAAAATCATTTATTTATAATTATATAATTTTATGGTTTAATATTATAATATTTTGTTTATTTAAATATTAAACATAAATATTTGTTAAAAAGAATTATATTTGTTCATATATTTTGTAACTAAAATCTAATTAACTTTTACTCTATATAAATAGATAACTTTTTAATAATTGTAATGTGTGATGTGCTGAACATTTTATATATTTAATAATAGATTTAATTTTTATATAATTATCGATTATCGATTAAAATTAATTTCAATTAAATTTTTGATTAATTTGATTTTATTGGAATTGATTCCAATCCCTATAATGAACAAAGTGGCAATATACTATCTTTCCTATAAAATCAAAAATTAAAAAAATAAACAAAATTATTAATTAGTAATTAATTAAATTAATAATCAATAATAAAAATAGACAATACATAATAGTAAAAAAAAAAAATAACAATTTTATAATATACCTGAATGTGTTACCATGGCAAATCTAAATTTTTTTTCAACAAAAAAAAAATATTAAAATAACCTTTATTTTTTAAGATAAATTCCTCTTTTACCTTTACTTCTCTACCTTATCTTGTATTAGTATTAAAGTCAATATTAATATAAAGTAAAATAAGATATATAATAATGGCCGATCGTTGGCGTTACATGAATCGCCTAAAAAGGAGATTTTTTGAGAAAAAGGAAAATTTTTTGTCGCTCAAAGGCCAGAAATCCGGTTCACACTAATAAGATCACTATTATAGTATATTAAATAAGCATAATATTGTTTGTTCAGGCTAAACAATGATTATAAAAATGATCGACATGCATATCGATCCTCTAATTAAAACGTCCCTATGCCGATCCCTGACATGTCCACCGACTATTAATATTTGATTTAGTATCCCATCTCGTTGGTAATTAAAATGGTTGTTTATTTCAATTACACTGAGCGTATTTAATTTCGATGACATCTGAACTATTTATTACTTTCCTATATATGTACAATATCGTATCAAAAGAACAATAAAGTTGGTGAATCAAAATAAATTCCTTCAATACATATCTGATTCTTTTGGCTTCCATTTTCAATTCGGACTTTTTTTCCGTCATTTGTTATCGTTTCACAACACAAATTTCAGCCACCATTTTATTATTACTAATTTAATAAAAAGTGTGTGAAACTTTGAAAAGAAAAAAACTTTTGTAACTAAGTTAAAAATTTTCGCAATGTTTTTGATAGAATCGTTTCGTGATTATCGAACAACAGAACCTATTTGGTTTAGATATTTACGAGGTTTATTTGCTATTGTTTTCACAACGATACTCATTGTTTATTCAATAAATAAAGTTTATGAAGTTAACATATACATACCGACAAACCCTATTATTTTTACATATCCTCAGCTTCATGGTAAGAAAATGAAATGTATTTACTCTTAATACAAATTTAAAATTAATCAAATTTTTTTTTTAAAATACAGAAATAGATTTTAATATAAGCATTTGTACTGGAATTTCGAATGTAATGACTGATATTGAATTAGAAATTACAGAATTTGCAAAAATTACAAATAATACGTCTCAATGTCAAACTGTTCATAGAGATGATGTTTCGTATCATTCTGATCGAAACTTTTGGTTTAATATCACTACCGCTCCTTCTAAAAATAATGATATCAAAAATGATACGCAACAAGAATCAAAATATAGATTAAATCCTTATGAATTCAGTATACCTAGTGGTATTCCAGATAACATGTTATTATTATGCTTAGAATCAATCGAATTACAAACTTACAACCCACAATCTTTGTTGAAAATATATAGATATAATTTAACAGAATTAATTAGATACAAATTTGATATTTATCAATTAGAATCAAACTATTTTTTACTTAACCTTGGACAAGCTTCTATAATAACTTTTAAACCAATGATTGCAAATGATATATTAGAATTAATGCCACGATTAGAACAAATACCTATGAGTTTAAAACCTAATGAACTTCGAATTGGATTTGAATTTCCTTCATATTTTCTCAGATTTAAAGAATCGGGGTACGAATGTAAGTATATATACTATTATATTATATAATTATTATTGACTCAAATTTAATATATTTTTTCAATTTCAGATACCGATCTAATAGCTGATGTTGGAGGTTTCTATGGTGCGATAGCAGGCAAGTACAGTATATTATTATTAACCACCGATCCAAAAAAAATAATACCGACTTTTAACCATAAAATTAACACAATTCATAGGAATCTTTTATTTATTATTTGGAATGCAAAAACTTGAACCATGGTAAGCAATATATTTTAATATAAAATCATATAATATTATATTATATTGCTCATTTTTTTTTTACTTTAAAGGGGTTTGGTACAAAAGTATCTGCTTTCATATATTCCCTTTAGACAAAGTTTTACAAGAAAATTCGCAAAAAGATATGTTACATATGTCGGTCTTCCAATTGTTGAGAAAATTGAACTTAAAGGTGAATCGCCTTCACTATCAGCTGATCCGAAACCATCAGTGGAAAATAATTCTCCTTTTCTTACAACTTCTGGGAATGAAATTCAAAGCGATCAGACACATTTGAAAGATGTAGTTCAAATTTCAGAGAAATTAGAATATCTAAAAGATAGAGTTCAAATGCTAGAAATTTTATTAAAGGATTATTATTTAGATGATTATTTATTAAAAAAAGTTAAATTTGCTAAACGTAAATATGAAGAAAAGAAAAATGATGAAAAAAAGGAAGAAGATATGTTGTCATGGGTTTAAAAATGAACGAGTCTAATATTATTTATTCATTTTTGTATATTTATACAGTATATTTATTTATTTTACATAATATCATTAAATTGTGACAAATATAAATCTTCGTGTAACAAATAAATGATATCAAAACCAAAGTGTGACAAGCATGTTTTTATATAATCACTTTTGGAACGGTATTTTTCGTATTTGACGTTCTTTGTGCTTGATCATCTATCAACCATTCTTTAAGAAAGTTGGGTAACTTTTTAATGGATTTCCAATAATGTTTATAAAATAATTCTGAATCCGATTCATCATCAACAATATTTAATTTTGAATACTCGTATTCATCCTTCAATTCAGGATCAAATTCGACTAATAAAATTAGATAATTTTGTAAAATGAATAAAATTATCATTGAAATTTTAAAAATATAATCAAAGTTTGATCAAATACTTACGATAATATTTAAGTTCTTTGCCGCTTTTATCAATTTTACCAAAATTTAAATGACATACTATTGTATTTAAAAATAATAAACATGTTAAAACTAAAGTTACTCCGTGTATACCTATAAGAAATAAATAATTCAATATTCGTAAATTACCATGGACTTTTTTAATTTTAAAAACGGTGTATTTTATAATAACTTACCGAATAAATATTTTGAATCATTTTGTAAATCACGTATTGTGATAATTATTTGCCAAATAAGAGAAATATAAATCAAAAATACGCGCCACTTTGATTCCAATCTAATCTAAAATTTAAATTATAAAGAAATTAATAAATTGAGAATTTTTTTGATAAATTAAGAAAATATTGCATTTTTAACCTAATTACATCAATCAAGTTTTGGTTAAACAATTTCGGAACCTGATTTTCTTAGAATCTTCCCATATAAAAAGTCAACATACTTACAATTTTTGAACTGAATGTCATATAAAAGAACGGCAATAAACGTATTGACATCGTAATTGCCATTTCAACATTACTATTATTTATAGTATACTCATATATGTTGTAAGTAGTAAGAAGTCCCTGAAATGTGACAATAAAATGTAACAAAATGTGTAAAATGAAATTATAATATTTGTAACTTATGTAAGATCCTATATTAAATAATAAATTTTAATAATATTCTAATTATACAAGTTAAATATACAAAATAATTGTATGATAACTAAAGTTTACCTCGTAGTTCACTTGGTATTGAAATTTTAGTAACATCCCAGTATCTAAATTCGTAATACATTTTTCTTAGAATCTACTTTAAAAATTAAATAAAAAGAAATTCGCCTTAACTCACTTTCTTTTCCGTAGATAGATCAAAAACATAATAAATATAATGCAAAAATATAGAATTACAGCACTGGCAAAAATATTAGGTTTAACAAATTTTTTCAACTCTTCCTTGTCTTCCTTGTCTACCTTGATAAAAAAAATATCATCACCATACTTTTTAAGCAAATTATTTCTTATATCGCTTTTTTTCGCTTTACGAGTTTTTTTTTGTTTTAAAAAAATAAAAAAATAAATAAAATAAATGAAAATTAAAATTAATGACTATAAAAATTTAAAATTTAAATTTTATTACTATCTTCAAATCCATTTATGTCAACATCTAAAAAAAAAATTAAAAAAAAAATAAAGATTAAGTTAAAATGAAAATTAATGACAATAACAATATAAAAAGTTATTACATTCATCTTCAATATTTAAAATGTCATCGACCGCAATGTTAATTAAAACCATGATTGGTATGATATGAATTACACAAAAGGCTAATAAATAGATTAATTTTTTCTCGACAATCTATTTTGAAATCAAAATCGTTAAAATAATTACATTAATATTAAATTTGGAAAATTATTACTTACAGTATATATCCCAGATACAAAAATAACGAAAAGTAATACAAGCAAATAATCTGTTCTCATTGGTAAAATAATTATACCACGAATTCCAAATAAAATTTCAACAAAAAATATTCCTAAGAATGTCGAATTTACAAGAACTTTCATTTGTTTATGTTCCAAATCTTCAGAATCCATTTTGTCTATCAAACGAAAGCAAAAATCGGTGTAGGTAGAACAGAATTTCATACAGGATTTATACGAATTCAAATTTACTCGGAAAAAGAAATTTGAGCTCCGATTAACATTACTTATTAATCTAATTTTGGGATTTTATTTCTAAGAACTTGCACAAAATGCAGGGGTGCATAAATGAAAGTTTAATTCAAACTCGTTATTTTTTAATTAATTTTAAAATGACATGGTCCAATAAAATAATCGACTAAAAAATGCATATCGCAATAAATTTTTTTTTTTTTAGAAATAAACCTTTGTGCCAACTTTCCGAATTTATCTCTAAATTTTAAAATGCAAAAATTAAGTGATATGGTGTATTACTTGGAATATTAATTTGTCTAAAACTTTTCCGGTTTCCTTCTATCGCCGGGATATCATAAATCTGGAGAATTCGAAAATATAGTTTCATACTAGTTATGCAAATTAGCAAAAAACATTAAACCTGCGTAAAAGATTTTCTGATGAAAAATTCCAAATTAGTATAATTATAACTACCCGTAATAAAACATGGAATCAATATATCAGTTTAGAATATTTTGATTAAAAAAATAAAATATTTTTACCATTTCTTTTTGATAATTTGACAGATTGAAATTTTATGAACGAAACCATGCTGAAATTAAAATATCCGGACATAAACTAATAACACAATCTTATAATAACACATGGTATAAATGATTTAATTACAATTACCTTTGAAAAAAAAATAGCTTTTTATTAATAATACTGTACAATTCCGAAATTAAGCACCCCCGAAAATAAGCACCCTCACAATATGTATAGTAACCAAAAATAAGCACCCCTCCAATATGGTCATTTGTATTTGCAAAAATTTAACAAAAAAATGTTCTTTATTAATTTGAAAAGATAATTTTAGACTACTAATTATTATCTCATTAAAAATTAAATTCATTATTGTCATACATAGAGAGATTTAGTTCAATTTCAAAAAGAAAATCATCTTTAAAGTAATTGCTTCATGACTTATAATAAAAAGTAATTAATATAAATTATTTATTAAGAAAAATGTACAGTATGTTACAAAAAACCAGAATTACTATTTTGTATTTATTTGATAAATATATATTCAAATGATACAGAAATTTAAAGATAAGTACTTGAAAACCTAATGAAAAATTTAATAGAATCATTTGATAGCTTACCTTAATAAAATATCTTGTAATTTACATTTTAAATACAAATTTTTTTTTTAAAAAAATTTATTTAAAATCAAAAATATTTTATTTATTAATTAATAATTTAATATATTATAAACATTAAAATTAAAAATTAAAATATATAATATAAAGTATATATTTTTTTTTTTAAATTAATTTATATATTAACTAATTATAATTTTTCTTAAAATATTTTATTACTAAATTTTCTTAATTAAAAATTGATAATTATGAAATATTTTATTATAATAAGTGATCAAATACCTTTATGTAAAGTTGTTCATATCAAAATTTTACATATATTTTAAAACTTTTATATAATTTGAATTAATACTTATAGGGAAAATTAAAAATTCTGGTTTTTTTTGTGACACACTGTATACTTTAAAATTATCTAGCTTATGGATCATATATATCTATTCTTTTTAATAATAGTTTTATAAACTTATTTAATAGCTTTTTTTTGTGCTTTTTTGTGATAGCATGTTGTATGAGCTAGTATTTTAAAAATAGACTTAAAACAAGTTTTGTGATTGAATTTATTTGTATTTTATGATAAATTCACATTAAGAATATCATTAAACTATCCATTTAAGTGATTTTATATTGAAAATTTATTTTTATATCAAAAATTTATTTTTATATTAAAAGTTTAAATTAAAATATAAAAAAAACCTTTTTTTAAGAAAATTACCTAAAATTAAGCACTACTATAAAAATAATGAATGCTTAATTTCAGAATGATACAGTAATATCTTTTTTATGAGATAAAAAGAGGAGACTTTTTCCTGCTTTATATTTTCTTTTATCAGATTAATTTTTTATTATAAATACTGCAGTATAAAAATTTATGTAGAATAATAATATTGTTATATTTAATATAATTTTGCCTAAAAATAACATAATTTTGTATGTAGATTATTTTTAATATTTAACAGTTCCTTTGTAGATCATTTAATAGGTTGACATAATGTCAGATTATTACAATAACAGGTTGATAGGAAGCCAGTTTGAGTAGAATGATAGGTTAGCAGAATGTTAGGTCGTCTAATCATTTTTTTTTATAAATAGCTTAATATCTATACTTGTTTTACTTATATTACCTTAAAAACCTTCCTTTATCTTTTCATGATATCTATTTAAATATAATATTTATTATTTTGTAATTTTTTTATTTTTATTTTTCGATCTTCATATTATTTAATCAATTTTTTTATTAGAACTTTTATAATGGTATTTATTAAGTTTAATATATTGATATTGCAAAATCAATATTAAGGTAACTCTGATTAATTATATTATTAAATAAATTTAGCATCAATATACTTTATTTATTATTCAATAAAACCTTCTACTTACATTTAAAATTATTTATAAATACATAAATAAAAGAATTGAATATAAAATATCATTTTTATTATTTACTTACTTAATATATATAGATAAATTTAATAATATCAGTATTCTCAGATAAAATAATCTAATATAAGGGATATCAGAAAGATAAAATCAATTAACATTAAATAATAGTTCAGTTCACGCTAATATGATAGCATGTTATAACATCATCAACTTTGAATGACAAATTATATTATCTAATAGCTGATTACTGAAATTTCTGAGTTAGAAATAGGTCGATATGAAGTACAAATATTAGAGCGCAGATATGCTTAATTTTATCACATTTTACTGATCAATTTGCTGATTATTTATTCATTTTTATCACATATAATATGTTAAATTTTACAAGTAGCTGCATTTTAATATAATAAAATAATATATTAAAATTTATTAAAATATAATTATTATGGGTAAGTTATACTAGAAGTACCATTTTACCAAAATTAATATAATTATAATAATATATGATTTATATTTGAAATATTCAAAAAGATGTCTCAAAGTTAACTTTTGTATTGTTTAAAAATTTTATTGTAATACTTTTATATTATTTTCTATATATCTTAAAATATGAAATATAATGGTCAGCATAGTTTACCCTTATATATGTGACTTTGCCTAAATCTTTGAAATCTAAAATAATTAATTTATTATGTTAATGACTTAATTAATTATTTTAGCTCTAAGCTAACTTATGTAAAATATTTGATCTTGATTTATTGTTTTAATATTATATTATACATAAGGCCACTCTAATAAATAGTTTCATTTTACATCAACCTTCCCCCTCTATTTTTCCAAAAATTTAGATTTAAACAAACATTTATATATCACGTGATTTCATTAAAAAAATAACGTAAATAGATTTATTTAAAAATTTGGGTTATTTATTAAGAATTGTTTTATTAAAAAATTAAAATTATACTAATATTATTATGTATAAATCATATCCTTTTTCTTTTTTTTGCTGATTCTCCAACTTTTTTTTTACTCCAAATATGAAAAGAATGACCTGAAAGTTGACAATTAAAACAAAGTGGTATATAGATTGATATTCATTAAGCAAATCATCACTTGCCTCTACTAATGAATTATTTGTATCACAATAATAACAAATAGGAGATTTTTTGAAACGGCTTGAATAATAACCACTTTCAATTAGAGAATTACAGTTAAGAGATTGATAAACAAAAATTATATTTTTCAACTCGTGTGAAAGTGGTATCCATTCTTTCATCCCACAAGTAAAATCAGTATACTCTATTTTAAGTTATAATACAGATATCTGCTCATTTTTCAGGGCATTTATACTATAAATACATCGAATTTTTCCACAAAATTACATTCAACAAATTTTCAAATACGATTATTATTAAAGATGCTCTATGGTAAACTATCAGCTTCTGGTTATCCCACTTTACTTAGACAAAACTTTTCAGATGTTTGAGTACTATATACACTTAAAAAATCCTTATAGTGATCAGGATTAGCTAAAATATAAATATTAAAAGATGTAATTAGTATTTGCATACTTATAAAATAATATATCAAAAAATTGTATAATTCTTACCAATAAATGGTTCAGGATCAGGCAAAAAATGCAATTCATTAAATACCTCAATTGGTAATTCAACTGACAAACAGATAGCATACTCAATATTATTGCATTTCTTAATCTACAGAAATTACAGTTATATAATGAATTTCAAATATAAAGGGCTGGTATACAAAGCATTTATTCTATTTAATATACCTGAAATGAATATTGTCTGATTTGACAATGTGTATCAATAAATTCTTTTAAATTGAGAAATTTTCTTAATTCTACTAGTATTATATCATTAACTGTAAGCTGACTTTCAACTGATAATATAGACTTGATATAGTATGTGTAATATTAATTTAGTAATTAAAAAAATAAATTTAAACAAAATATAAAAAATATCTTATACCTCAAATAAAAATTCAATTTCAGATTCTATAGCAGAAGAAGCAATTTTGAATTTTAAATCATATAAAGAAAGGCGTGAAGTATGATTTTCAGAAGTCTTAGGTAATGCTAATTTATCTAATAAGCTCTTCTTTTAGATTTACATTAGAATTAGCTTTCTCGCAGATTTCAGATAAATTTTTAAGCTTATCAAAAGCTTATTCTGATGATTCACTCATAAATTCTTATTTTAAAGCAACACCTTGCAAAGCAAGGTTTAATATTGACATTATGTATTCAGCTAAATTAGTCTAATTATGATAAGGTGCAGTTCGTACAGCAGCTAAAAAATCAAAGTTACTTTTTAAAAACAAGGCTATCAATGATATTTGAACAGATCTATAAGTGCATTGGTGATTTGGATTACCATCAGTATATAAAAGTAAAATTTTGGGTTTGTTAATATTATCTTGATATTGAATAGAATAATTATTATAAAACTCTGTTGTATATTGTATAGCAGAATTTAGTTGAAAAATTGTATCATTATATGTTATATATACTTGACCTTGGTAAAATGAATCAGATATATTATTTGGAATATTAACAAATAAAGAAGCTGAAGAAGTTAAAGATAATTTTATAAAATTGTGATCGCAAGAACTGAGTATGCTATCTATTGAAATTAAGGTTGCTTTATTTCTAACTCCTGTTGAAGTAGTAATAGATTCTTCAATAAGAACTTTGTGTTTGTCATCAGCACAAATTAAAGTTGTAAACTCTTTAAATTTATTAGAAAATTTACATAAATATCTCTAAAGTGCAGAACAGTAATGTGAATTAACATGAAACTTTTGTATTTAATGAGCCTGAATCATACATTAAATTTGAAATCTGCCAGTATATTAATTTTCTGAAAATTCTGTTTTTGGCTAAAATTGTAATTGCATCCATTCAGCTGAAAGTATTTTAACATCATTTAGAATAGCATTACACTTATTTTCTAATCATTTAATTATAATTTGCATTAGGTTCTTAACAGAAATAGCAATTAATATATACAAGGTTGAAGTATGTTATTGATTATGAACTGCAGATGTAACCTTTTAAAATTTTAAAAGATATATTATAAATATTTTATAATATAAAATCAAAGATTATCATTCAGAATTATTATCTCATTAAAATAATCTTACATTTCATTTCAAAAGATATCAAATTTTGTTCTTTTTTCATCAATAATTTTACGAAGATCTATAATGATATCAGGATCCTATATATTTAATATTAATTTTATTCGTTTATATGTTTTCTTATTAATTTTATTCTCTGGTATTGATACATCGCCTGTTAAATCTTGATATAGTACTTGCAAAACTGAATGTGATGTTTTAACTATTAAAGAATATTATTATATATAATAATATATTTAAGTTCAATAAATGTTTTATTACAAAAAATTTGCAAATAAAATAAACCTTATTTATCACATTTTTTTACATTTGTCTTGTACAATAGATTGGAATTTGGTCATACACTGCAGTGATATTTTTTGCTTCTCGTATTTTATCACAGTTATTCAAACAGGAAATTTTTCATACAAAGTTTAATATACCAAGATAATTACCATGATAATAGTGATACAGTATGAAAGATAAATTAGCACATATTTTTTGAAAAAAGAGATAGGTATCTTGTGACTTAGAAGGAAGTAAATGATCTATATTTAAGAGATCATAATCATTAGACTAATGAAAAAGTTGTGCTAAAGATTCATATTGAGGTGGATATAAATTAACAGCTTCGATATTCTTAACTATAATATCATTACGCCTATTTCTTATTTAAACCAGATTAGTATGTATAGTACGTATTCTATTATTAACATCTTGAAGATAATTAACATACTCTTGAGCTATTTTTATTAGATTATGAATATCTTTAATCACTTCTTCCCAATATGATAGACTTATTCAAAGTTGTTGAATAAATAAAATTAATGCTTTAATAAATGATTTAAGTTTTTCTCATGATATTTCATTTTTTTTATGTTTCATAGTATTATAGTAAAAATTATATTAACTTTTAGAAACATATATGAGGAGTTTTGCTATAATTATCAGTAGTTTTAAGTCACGTTTCTCTAATTTGCCAAGATGAAAATCCAAATACTATACTAAATCAGTAACTCTACGAATAAAAGAATGTTTAATAGTCATATGACTATTATTCAGCTATCCCAATTTTCTTTCTTGCAAAACTTTTAAAAAAGCATTATAAAGTACATCTGTACGAAATTGGATATTATAAGGTAGCAGAAGTTTTTTTAAATACCGTTGCACCATCATGAGATCAAATGCCAAAATTCTTTCATCTGATAACTCATCAGGATTATTTGTTATTGAATCTATTGTAAAACGGATATACTGCGCCTTTAATTAAGAATACACTTCCAAATTTTTATCAAAACCACTTAATATAAGATGTCAAACTGAAGAATCATTACATTGAAAATCAATTTTAACTAATATTTCTTCAAAAAACAGTTCTTTTTGATGTAGTGCTGCTTTTATCTAAATGTTGTATTTGTTTATGACAGTATATGAAAATGGAAAATCTTTAATAAAATCAGCAGTGGTTAGTATTGAAGAGTTCAGAAATTTTGAAGATTTACTAAATATAATTGTAAAAGAAAAGAATATCGCTTGTATTTCTTTCTCTTTTTTTTTTTGTTCGATAAACCTTTCTTTTTGTGCAGAATTAGGAGAGAGATTATTTTTTTCACATATAAATATTATAAATATAGTATTTGTAATTTTGTAAGATTGATTAAAAAAGTTTAACAAATCACGTGATTTATATATATATTTAAAATTTTATTATATTTAAATTTAACCCTCCTCCCCTCAACTTCTTTCACACCATGTGATGTTAAACAAAACTATTTGTTGGAGCGGCCTAATCTAAAATATCAAATTTTTTAATTTGTAATATTTATATCACCATGTTGATCATTTTATAAAATCAGCTGATCCATAATTTAAAACTTCTGGCAAAACAGTATATGATCAAGTAAATGCATATTTGCTATATTGATTTGGCCATTGACAAATAAATAATGCATGATAATAAATTTAGTTTCTTAGCAAAACACTGTCAAACTATAATAAATCTTATTGGTAAAACATCCATAACAAAGTCAGAGTCTTATTAACAAATCTGTAGACTTTGGCCATTAGTATAATAATAATGAATTTAATAAGCTTTTTCAAAGGAAATCTTAAGCTGCACTAGGGGGTCTAGAATTTTAACCTGGACCCTTTAAATTTGATTGTTTTATCATAATATTAACTACATTAATTAATTATTTGTTTACTATTTACCATTACATATAATAATAAACATCTTTTTCATGTTTTTTTAAACTTTTGTTCATTAATAAAGCTAAAATATTTTTTTAATAGCAGTTCATAACTTCAAGCGTAAAAGAATATTATCATAAAGTTGTGAATATAATAAACATGTTTTTTTGTACTGTATAGAGATTTATTTCACAATGTAATTTCAATATTTTAATCAAACTAAACAGGCGAAATACTGAAAGAGAATTGTTCATAAAGTATAAAAATATTTGCATATTAATTTTTGTGGGTTTAGCTTGAAGTTATTGGTTTTTATTAATAATATTAAGACACATTTTATTCTTGTGTTAAGATGTAAATTGAACAGTTTGGCCAAAGAAATCAAAGAAAAAACTTAGATAAAGTTGTTCTGTAGATATTAAAATTTTTATGTAAAAATTTTTATGAGGCTAGCTTAAATAGTTATAGAGTTATGAATTTTTTTGTAATACTAATGCCAAGACACGTTTTTTAGTAAAAAATTTAGTAATAATATTTAATTGTAATTATTAGTTTTTGACATTAGTTTTGGACTTTTGGCATTAATTCAAATAAATTTACACTCAATAAAACTTTGTATTTTCATAAACTGAAACTTTCAACCATTTTTAAAAATTAAAATAATTTCATTATTGTTTTATATTTAAAAGTTTTTATCTATTCATTACTATTTAAAATACATAACATACTTGTTATTATTTTTATTCTTTACCATTTAAAATACATGAAAATAATGAAAATATAAAAAAATTTCTAAGATAAAAGTTACACAAAAATATGTGGCTGAT